AAGCATCTTTTTGCTTTATTACATCACAAAACGAAGATGGATCGAGAATGATTTGAAAGTTTGGAGAATGAGTATCAAACTTGGTAATGCAGTTTCATGATTTAAAGGTACTTTTTATTTTGTGCAAATTAAAGAATTAAAGTCAGTATTAAAACCGGTTTAAAACCGCTATCGGAATTCTTATTTGAGTCTACTGTTTGAATCGAGCTTATTTTCAAAAAATCAATCAGGCCAAGACACTGTATCAGCGATGAGAAATAGAATCTGCATGTTTAGAAGTCACGTCAAAATATATCATGGAATCAATGCGGGGCAATCAAATGTCCTGGTTTTCCTGTTCTTTCTTCGGATTTGCAAGGTGAAGAACCGTACCTTTTCTTCTTGTAGCCTAGAGGAGCCTTTATTCATTACACGTTGCATGGTATCGTAACATGCATTGCATATGCGCAAGTCAGGATACTTGATGGGTCGAAGAAACACATGCTCGAGCATCAGGCGCTAAACTATTATAAAGCCATGCCTTGTATAAACGGCCCCCTAGGACTTGAGAAGCTACTTGTCGATGCTCCGTCATGTAATTCCGGAGAAATGACAGGAGAATCTGGTTGTTGCCAGTGATACTAAAAGCTAACTTTTTGCTAGCCAACCCATAATTCCGGGGTTTATTTTTTATTTGTCGAATTTTGTTATTTCGTGTTGTCATTATTGTTGACATATCTACCATCCTTAGTTGCACTAATCTTACGTTATTATTTATACATGTCAGCACCGAAACTAGGATCGATTAGTACTCCTCATCCAAGTGTAAGTGAATGCATCAAGCACCGGTTTCTCAACCTAATTTCTTAAATTCTTAACTCCGCCGTTGCCGTTCCCAAGACCGGGAAAAAAGAATGAGGGTTAGGGAAAGTGGCGAGGTCTGCCGTAAACTTGCCGATCTTTACCTCATGGTATTGCCGTTATCGAATCTATATTGGCGTTGTCTTCACTGCGGTTCCAAGGGGTCGCACAGATTGTTCGGATACTGAGCAAAGTGAACAAATAAAAAACAAGGTTAAGCGATTCAGGAGGATGACCGGTTTCTCGGTTCCGTGATCTCCACCGATGGCACTATCCATCCAGAGTTAGTTAAAGCATAACCCTAGCTCCCGCGTGCTATTGGCGATCTGCGAAACTAAAAAAGAAGTTACTCTTCGAACGAAAATCTCTGTATGTTTTATCTGTCAGGTCAGTGTTATAGTATGACGATTGAAATGCGTTGAGCAGCGTTGGTTTTACATGATGAGAACTATTTGGTTGTACTACCTAGCAAGGATTATTCTATTCCGTGTATACTTGACTCCATAGATCTAGAGATTAGGAAAAGGAATTTGGCCTTGTGAAACAACCTTGTTGTGCATACGCCACTTGTTACAATGTTTACACCATACTCTAATTTTTTTGTGTGAGAGCCGAAACGCGGCAGGCGTTCAGTCAACGCGGAAGAGGAAAGTATGAGTAGATTTGTTTTTTGTATAAGAATTTCTTTCTGAATGCAATTACCGGTGACTTATTGTAAAGCAGCGGATTCAGTGGTCATATGTAGCTCTGCTTATGCGAACGGCTAAAGGTGATGATCTCAATGAGTAGACAACAGACAACTCTTTATTGACTACAACGCAAATGTCAGAGCCTGTTCTTGCGCTGCAGAATGTCACATAATGTATGACTCTCCCATCTCACCGTGTGTGTGTGTCGGTGCCACCTTGCTGTACGACTTACTGTGGATATTAATTCCCATTCAATAGTAGTGGCAGACATATTGATGCCGTAATATATTATTTAAACCATTAAACAAAATGAGCGACTTATAATAATAAAATTGTGCATGAAATTTAAGGTTCGTATTCTGCAGAAGCTATTGTTGTGTCCTTGTTAATCGGGAGATCGCAACATATTAGCTAGTAGCTTGCCGAAACTTAAGAGCGATAGAGATTGATGCAACTTGATTTCTGAAATGAGGCAGAGTGCAATTTTTTGTCTCAGGGTATAACGTTGAAAAGATCAACTAAGGGATCGACAAAAACGAGTTCTTCAAGTCCGAGGCAGTTATTGAACAATATATCGCATCTGCGGAATCTCACCCACAAAGTCACGACAATGATA